TGCGAGTTAATAAAATGCTTGCCATTGCAGCCGCCAGCACATTTCTGTCTTGAATTCTGTTGCGTGAAGACGTTGAGATAGTTAGTGGCAGCACTACACTTGAGATAAAATTCTGCTTTGTTGGCGCTAAACGGCTAAGCGCTGGATATTTTTTAATAGTTGAGAAAATGTATGCGAAATTTCGTATATTGACATTGACATTGTTGGTGTTTGTGGATGTGAATTGGAAGTCGTTGAACGTGACGTGCACCGCCACTGAAGGTGAGCAAACAAATAGTGATCGGAATGTGGCAGTGCGCGCTGCGGTCGAAGGCGACAACGAAGACCTCGAAGTTGTTGCACAAACGGCGAATATAACAAATAATGTATTTGCAACAACAAAAACACCGCTACTAAAAGCAAGAGCACGTAGCATAGCGAACAACAATGATGATGACGACTTCGTGGAGTACAATTTGAACGCAGCGCATGAGACACAGCTCAAAGACACTTCGCGTCCATTGAAGAATGTCTTTCGTGGCGTTTACAAGAGCTACAAAAGCACTTTCATGGGCAATGTCACATCGGCGGAATATAAGAAGCGTCTGATTGAGCGTTTAAATGCGGCCGCCGCGCATACACACGGGAGCAGCGCAACGCCTACGTTGGCGACGAAGCGCGCAGAACTGAGTGTGTTACATGAAAGACTCAAGAACGAAACTTTATTGCCGAGCGACACCGAAATAGCGCCACCCGCGCCACCCGCACTTGACGGCGAAACACTCAAAGCGAAATTAAAGGAAACGCTGCGTAAACGCAAACGTAAATATCATCGCGCACATGCGAGTGCGAAGCGTACAAAAACAAATCATCGGCACTCGAGCGCAACAAGCACAGACGCTGATAAGGTGTATGAGCGCGCAAGCCACAACAACAACAATACAGCTAATAAAAATAATGCGAATGTAACGCCGCTTGAAAGCGCTCAAGGCACACTTAACGGCACTTTCAGTGATAAGCATTATCGCTACACAATTGGACCCGGCGTCAATATGAGCTTTGATATGGTGAATGACATCGTTAATGTCAATTTGGATAGCGATAATCTGGCCGAAATCATGCGTGGGCGTTGGTTGAACGATAACAGCGAGGAGGGTGAGTAGCATAATTGATTAATCGTTTTGCCATTAGTGTTAGCGCTGTTTGATAATTTGTTAATTGTTTTATCTCACCCTCCGTTTCACTATCTTTCCCTCTCTGCAGGTCGCGGCAAGAAGTACGATATGATCACCAAAGTGTTGCCACTCTTCGTGCTGCCATTCCTCATACAATCTGCCATTGTGCCATTTTTGGTCACCAAATTGAAATTGTTGTTGGTTAAGTCCATATTGATTGGCAAATTGGCGATATTCCTGCTCATTTTGTCGGCGATCAAGAATGGCAATAAAACGGTGCAATCTTATGAAGTGGCCCCGTCTTATTGGGCTGGTGAGCCGAGTCGGCGTTCTGAGTTGGCAGCGGCTGCTTCATCGTCCGCTTATAATGGCTATCGGGTGGAAGGTAAGCCAGCCGCTTGGATCAATTAACGAAATGCATTGCCTAAGAATTATGTTCATGTTTTTTGTTGTTAATGAAATGGAAATTAAATGAAATATGTGTGTGTTTGATGTTTTTGATTTGTTCATCGCATGTTTCGAAAAGTGTGGCACAACTCTGAAAAATTTAAGTTGAGATATGTTAGTGTTATCCATAATTATCTGAAAATTTGGATGCTTAAGCATTGTCCGCATACACCTTTATTATTGTTGTTGCGTAGATGGACATTTGGAACCACTGTTGAGATAATTTTTGATATCTCTTTAGTAGAAATCTTACGAAAATCATACTTGCTTTTCGTCGAGCGTGGCTTCCAACACAAAAATAAGTACTTGATGCTTAAACCTCTTTTAGATCTTAGTTAGTCTCTACTTTTTTTTGTTATATGTGTTGAGTGTCTTCGTTTTAACTTATAGTGGGTGGGTTCTAGTTCCAAATGGTTGATAAACTTTATGAGACCATTTAGATTGTAGAAGACCTTATATTTTGTAGTGAAAAAATTGCATCAACTTCAGGTTTTGAGTAGTGGTAGCCACACAAGATACCTATTTTCAAGTGAAAATTCTTAAACGGCTCATAAATGTAGGCAATTTTGTGCATACATAGGTCACACTTTAAAATCAATATCAAATATCGATTTATTTCTCAACGTCTTCTCCATTCGCTCGATATATTTAGCTCAGCGATGTTTCTACTTCTTTAAATTTCGAATTGTCTTGGTTCGACAAATAACCTTTTCACGTCTGAAAACATATATTGATAATACCGTTCATACAAGGAGCGTTCCAAAGTAAACAGGACTTAAAAAAAAGGGGAAATGGTTTTCCGGCAAAATAAATTAATTTTATTCAAAATAGTCTCCTTCTGCCTCAATACAGCTTTTTGCACGGTCCAAAAGCATAATGTTTAGCTTGTTGCCCGGTATGGCCTCCAGTATGCCGATACAAGCCTTTTGAATGGCCTCTACGTCTGCATAATGCTTTCCTTTCACGGGCAAATGCATTCTGGCGTTTCGTTTCGGGATCATATTGGAAACACCACGTTACATCACCAGTCACAATATTGGTTTCTGAGCAATTTATGGTCGTCAGTCTATTTCGTAAGTCCAAATGTTTGGGCAAAATGCGGTAAATCGATGGTTTGGAGATGTTAAATTCCATTTCCATGAATTCAATGATAATTTTGGCTGATTTTTGATGAATTCAAGCACAGTTTCGATGGAATATCCGGTAATCACGGATTTTGATTGGCGCACATGTTGACCATCCTTTATGTCTTCCACTTTGAAAACGTTGAAACCACTCGTGCAATCTGCTACGAGATAGGCAATCATCGCCGTAAACTTGTTTTATCAATTGAAACGTTTCGATAAAAGGTTTACCAATTTTAAAACAAAATTTAATGTTGGCTTTTTGTTCGAAGCTCATTTTCGCACCGATAGCACAAACATACTGACACTTAAAACGCAATAACTTCGCTTCCAATCAATGAGATATCATGAAATTCTCACTGGACAATCGATAAATAGCAGATTCTAACGCAACAGTCGACATATAGATGGCGCCACCAGGGGCTGCTAGAATCAAAAAGTCCTGTTTACTTTGGAAAGTATCTTGTAAAGTAGTTCAGTAGCAGTTCGGTTTGTCCGAAAAGTGATAGGACTGATGTTCTTCCGCCGTGACTGTACTTCGGAGCGTGCGCGCACCGACTGGATTTGGTAGAGGGCGGTCCTAGCTAACAAACGACAAGTCATGGATATTTGAGTATGATCCTGAGACAAAGAGGCTATCTTGCGAGTGGCACACGTCGACGTCTCCTCGCCCAAAAAAGTGAAAAATGAGCAAATCCAAAGTGCAAACGATGTTTATTGTCCTTTTGACATCAAAGGCATCGTCCACCATGAATTCGTTCCTCCTGGCGCCAAGTTTTACGTGGAAGTCCTCAAGAGACTCAAACGAAGGGTAAATCGGGTCCGACAAAACATCGCAGCCGATTAGAAGTTGCATTTCGACAACGCCTCGGCTCACATCGCCTTTCTTATGAACAGCTACCCAACTAAGGCCGGCATCTCAATGCTTTCGCAGCCGATCTACAGCCCAGATGTGTCTGCATGAAAGCTTTTAAAGAATTGTAACTATTCGTTCAATAATTTTTTCGAGTTCCATCAAATTGGCCATGGCGAAGACGGAGGTATACGCGAATGCGTTGTCATGATGTAAGAGTCCTTGTTTTTTGTCAAATTGGAACGTTCTTGCAATTCATAGAAAACTGTGGTCATCAACTTTCGAAGTCTTCTTTGGAGCAGGTTCACCAGGTGAAGTCCTCTGTTTTTATTTGTTCCTTGGTATCTGCTGTGTATCAGAAAAACCATTTTTCGCCGCCGGTCATGAAGCGATGCAGAAATTCTTTTGGAGTGCACTTAAACAGAAATAAAGACTGTATTGAAGCTGGTTGTCCATTATGAATCGTGGTAACCATTGGTCTTTTAAAATGTCTTTTGGCTCAACTTTCTAGCGCAGACGAAATCGTAGGCTTTTGTCGTATTATCTTCCGTCTCAGTCGTTTTTTGGACAGCTGAGAATGCCTCATTTAAAACTGACGGCAGACAACGTTCGTCTCTCTCTTCTCACCGTAAAAGAGAAATAATCACCGTTTCCAGCATCCAAACGTTCTTTTTTTCAAAAACATAAATCGTATCTAAGAACAATATTTCTTTTTTTCTATTTTTTGTTAATCCGAGGACGTGTCCGCTACCACACGTGTACAAATCAAAACTACGAGTCTGAGTCGATTCACAGTAGCCGTCTGGAAGAATGTAATACAAGGCAGTACATTTCACTTGCGATAGTGGCGCAATCGCGCAGCTGCGTTAAGTACTTATCGGGCCGCTCTCGTTCTTACCCGAAATGATTCGCATTATTATAGTTTTTTCTCAAAATTTGACATCACACCAAACTCATTTTTCTTAATAATTCGGTTCACAGTGTTAGTAATGATAGAAAGCTTATCACATATGTGCAACTATTAATCACTCACTATCAGATTAGTTCAGTTTATAATCGAGAGTGACCAAACAAATTAATTTATGGAATTTTATCGTCATTTATTGTTCATAAAAGGTTACAATGTCAATAATAAACGATTAGTTTTATTATCATAAGTCATGTTGCAAGTGAAAAAAACCCATCAACAGCGGATACCACCTTATATCTAGATAGCAGCCCTCAGCCCAATAAACGACTTAAGTGTACATATTTGGTAGAAATAAATGGTTGATTAATTCTATTGTCCCAATCGATTTGCTATACATATAAGCAAATGAGAGATTAGATTGGTAATCTCCAGCTTGAACATCGTAAAAAAGTTTAATGCTCGCGCAATGAGTGCACAGGTCTTACACGAACAGTTTCAACTTGAACGTAGGCGTTAGCGGATCACGGCACTCCGCTAGAACACCTACTAACTATAAAATAGCAAAATGCTAACCAAATATTTGACTTTAGTCCTGCTGGGCTTAACCTTGTTTACGCAGTTTACCGTGCAGGCAGCGGACGAAACTGAAACTGTGAGCTTGCAGCAATAAAATACAAAATTTTTCAGTGTCTGATTTTTTTCTTGTATGTGTGTGTATGTATAGATTAACTACAGATTGCCCGATAGCGTAAATCCGGTCCACTACGACCTTTATTTGCATCCGGATATTGAGACGGGCAACTTCTCCGGTCAAATTGTCATTGAAGTGACGACCGTGACAGCCATCACGGAAATTGTGCTGCATTCGAATAACTTAGAGATCAGCAATGTTTATTTGTCGAATACGGACAATCCTACTATATTTGTAAAGAACTATTCATTGGACTCGGTGCGCGAATTCTTGGTGATCGAATTGAGTGAGGAGCTGGCCGCTGGGCTCACCTTCAGGGTTGGCATATTGTTTGGCGGAAGTATGGCTGGTAAAATTGTTGGACTTTATAGTTCGTCGTATACAAAGGGGGATAAATCGAAGAAGTAAGTGCATTTGAAATATAGGTTTTGTAAAAATATAAAGCAGCTACATTTAGAAGTATACTTAAAAATTGAGAAAAAAGTGATTTTAAAGCAAATATTAAATTCTCATTGTGGTTTTGATGGTACTTCAATTAATATTTTATAATAATCCGGTGAAATATTTAAGAGTGTTTTTTAAACCATGAATGTTTCAAGTGAGCAAAAATCTACTTTTTCAATTTAAATAGACTAAAAGCTCGTAGAATATCCTTTGTACAATCATGAGTTGCATTAGGGTCTTTATGCTGTTGTTGGAATGACATGAACATTTATTAAGCAGTTATTAGAAGAAAACACGATAAAACCATCCGACCGTCGTGAGAAAGAATGCTATGTTGCATTCTCCACCCTCTAAAAATCTTTTTTTTTTTTAGATATTTTTAATGAGTCTCTTCTTAATATATTAAATACTTATTCAGAAGTTGCACTAAGGACACATTTTTCAGCATTCGAAATTTTAGTAAGAAATTAGGTAATCGACTCCACTGAGCAAAACTCACATATAAGGTACTTTCCAAAGTAAACAGAACTTTTTGAATCTATATCGACTGGTGCGTTAGAATCTGCTATCTTTATCGATTGTCCAGTGAGAATTTCATGATATCTCCTTTATAAATATTTTTTAGAAATTTTCAATGAGTTTTAACTAAATACACAAAATACCTACTCAGCAGTAGTGCTAAGACCACATCTTTCAGCATTAAAATTTCCAAAAAATCATAAAAAATAATGAAATCGGTTTTATTAAATAGCGGCGACTGGACTAAGTGAAACTCGCTTAGAAAATAAAATTTAAAAAATTCGCGAGGAGAAATTTATTATTACTCAAATAAATGTTTGTTTAAAACTTAAGTGCACTGAAAGTAATTAACATCGAACAATGCATTTTTCAAGCACAAAAGGTGCATTCTTAAGTAAAGCTAACAAATAAATATGAGATAAGTTTACGAAAAACCAAACCTTGCCACTTCGGCAAAGTGTAAAAATGTAAAGGGTGTCAAACTCTTCTTCTTAAAATTTAAAAATATATGTATTTAGCTTCAAATTCTTGTTTTTATCAATTTTCTTTCTCCCCTCTCCCCCCGCACGTAGAGTTATAGCCACGTCCAAATTTGAACCAACATATGCACGTCAAGCTTTCCCCTGCTTTGATGAGCCCGCGAAGAAGGCGAATTTTACCGTGACATTGGTCAAGCCCTCAGAGGGAGACTACCATGCACTCTCAAATATGGATATTCTAGTAAGTGCAAAATTCAACTGACAATTATATATGACCACATACAAATTTTTATTAACTTATACTTCTCCTTAGAATGAATCCTTCCAGGGTAAATACACGGAGGTTTATTTCAACCAGAGCGTACCGATGAGCACATATCTGACTTGCTTTATCATTTCGGATTTTACATATAAATCGGCAGCTATCGAAACTAACGGTATTGGTGAGCCATTTACGTTGCGTGTCTTTGCGACGCCTGAACAAATTGATAAAGTCGATTTTGCGCTAGAAGTTGGCAAAGGGGTTATGGAATTCTACATACAATATTTCCAAATTGAGTATCCATTGCCGAAAATGGGTAAGCAGCTTAGTTTATATCATTTATATGTGTCATTTAAACTTATTTATTTTTAATTTTAATTTTCTATTATTGCTTTGTCGCTTATTTGTAGATATGATCGCTATACCGGACTTTGTATCCGGCGCTATGGAACACTGGGGCCTGGTGACTTATCGGGAGACCGCCTTGTTGTACGATGAGAATACCAGTTCATCGGCGAATCGGCAAAGTGTGGCCCAAGTTATTGCACACGAGTTCTCTCATATGTGGTTCGGTAATTTGGGTATGTGCGAGTATTTCTTTATCTTAGTTCAATTGGATATATTATTTTGTTATTAGTCGTGTTCTGAATACTAGTTCATGTTTGATCACTAAGCTAGATCACTTGTTTATATAAATATACCCACTGAATCTTTATAGGTTCCGAATACCCGAATATGGATCGCTGATTCCACCGGCCCACAAACTACAGCAAACTTCTGAATGAAATGACAACACTTAAATATTTTTATGTTGTTCTTGGTTCCAAATGCGGAAATTTTGTTTGTTTACATACCCATTGACCCAGAAAAGGGCCTCATCTCTGAACAAAATTTGACTCGAAAACGTGGGATATTCTTGGAACTTTTCAAGAGCCCATAGAGTGAAGCAATGTTTCTTGAGAAGGTCGAGCGGGCTCAGTTTTTACACAAGCTGTATTTTGTTCGCTTTCAAGTCCCAGTCCTTCCATGCGTTAGTCCAAGTTGTAGCGAACGGCACCTCATCGACTCTTCACGATCTTAGTAGTATACACGATCAGCCACAACTGCTATATTTTCTTCATTGCGACTGGACGTGGTCTATTCAGAGGAATAATATCCGGTAATGAATGCTGGGTCCCAAGTTAGATGATGGTGTTGCGAAAAAGTACGGTCAGTAGGTCGATTATATTGACCATTTTCGCAATAAAGTTGAACGAATTGTAAACTTTGTTCAGACGTAAGTCTTTTCATGATAAAAGCGCAAATATACTATACAAAACTATCATGACAGACGCGACTCATACATGACCTGTGTGTATTGCAAAAAGTACCACTCCTTGGATCAGCCGTTATAAATGTTCAGCATTACGAGCTGAGTCGATTTTGTCATGTCTATCTGTACTTTAGTCTGAATATAAGTGAAATCGTCCATCGATTTTGAGATATCGATCTGAAATTTTGCTCATGACCTTTTGTTTCCAAAAAACTGTTGATTTGTTGGTACCGCCGATATCGGCGCCTGCAGACAGCTGTCATACAAACCGTCAAAATCAAGCTCTTGCATGAAAACTTTCCATTTCACCAGATATTTCCAAAAAATCAGATCTCCACTTTGGATCACCATAGCATAAAGCTATCTTACAAACTGGACCTCTATTTAGCAATTATCTTCACGATTTCGCTAGAACTATTATCCAGCACAATGCTGCAGTCTCCAAGCAAATTGTTCAGATGGGACTACTATAGTACTATAGTAAACTGCTGAAGTTTTATTTTTAAATTCTGCCACAAATTTTAACTATATAGTAAATCTGTTATATTTTCATCGTTACTCTTCGTATCCTTTCACAGTTACAATGCAATGGTGGAACGATTTATGGCTAAACGAGGGTTTCGCCAGATATATGGAAAACAAAGGCATAAATGCCCTATATCCCGAGTGGCTAATGGTAATATTTTTCCAAACAATTTTAAATACAATAAAGTCATAATAAATGTATAAAACTTGTCTCTTCCGTCCTTCATAGCTTGATCAATTTATTGTGGTACGCTTACACGATGTTCTCATACTAGACGCCACCTTAGGTTCGCATCCAATCGTACAGACTGTGGAGAGTCCCGCGCAGATAACGGAAATATTTGATTTGATCACCTATGGCAAAGGTGCTTCGATTATACGCATGTTGGAAGACTTTATTGGCGCTGATAATTTCCAAAAAGCTGTCTCAAATTACTTGGACGAATTCAAATTTAAGAATGCTGTGACCGAAGATTTCTTAAATGAAGTTCAAAAATTGATTACCGACATTGATGTGAAATCAATTTTGCAAACTTGGACGGTGCAAATGGGTTTCCCTGTTGTTAATGTTGAGCAGTTGTCAACAACACAATATCGCCTAACACAAAAACGTTTCTTTTCAAATCCCAACGATTACAATTCGCAAATCGATGATTCGCCATACAAGTAAGTAGTGATAAATTTGAGAGTTATTTTCAAAAACCTTTAGTATACTTGTGTATATTTCGGTTAAATTGTTGTACCGTCATTTCTTCCAACTTATTTTATTTACTTTAGTTACACTTGGTCAATACCGATAACCATATTAGTAAATGATCTCCCTGTCCAGCGTGAATGGTTCTTACACAATTCCACATATCGTAAGTGCTTAGATTCGATTGTATTTATACATATAATTTCCAGTTACTTTTCTGTCACAATATATATATATTTTTCTTTACACATTCATAAACGATTGATTTACACTTATCGTTTTAGTTGATATTACCCTTGATACCCCGCCGCAATGGATCAAGTTCAATACTGACCAGGTGGGCTTGTATCGTGTAAATTATCCCGATGAATTGTGGAAAAATTTAGCTAATGAATTACTATCGGATCCATTGGTAAGTTAAAATATGTATGTTTAATGAGAATTTTCGGACTGCAATGCTGCGAAAGACAAGACGCAAGGTCATTCTTTTTTCTCTTTCTGATTTTTTTCTTAGGATGGCAAAGATTCCACAATCAATCTATTGTATAAGTAAGAAGTCAGTTGAAAAGTCCGCGGCCATATTCTTTTTCGCAAAATTGTTTTCTTATTCCACATAGTTCACTTCGCGGGTAATTCACTGATTATAGCGACACTCCAACTTTTCGTTACCAATTTTGTTGTCCTTTACTTCAGAATAGGATTCAGTTTCCGAAATCATATTTTCATGCGGAAGCAATTCGAAGTCCAATTCAAAGACTTATGTGCATTCTGTTGATGAAACACCACTTTTATTTTCATAAAATGCGGTTGTTTTTCGGAGATTTCGTCTTTCAAACGGTCGAATAACACTGAGTAATAGGCGATGTTGATGATCCTTATTTTTTTAGGGTTGTCAATAAAATTCTTCCAGGCGTATCTTAACATTAAAAACAGATGTTGGAACATTGCCAGCCGACTTTTGATTTTTCCAGACTTTGCCGCGTGTTCATCGTGTGAAGTCCACTCGTATGACTGTCGATTGTCGATTGGACTTTTATCCACTGTTATATATCGACGCAAAAACTCGAGTTTCTTATACTTGAACATATCCAAACACTACCTCGAATCATCAATTCGTCATTGTTTTTGGTCGAAAGTTAGCTCGGCCCTCCTTTGCCTAAATATTCATGAATGATATGTTGTAATAAAGATTCCTTCCTTTGGTAAAGAACTTTTTTCTAACCAGAACGTAACTAACAGATCGCTGCAAACTAGACATTGAGGAAACGGCCCCTAGAGTGCCTGCTATCCCCAACAACTTTACTTTAGGGTCATCCAAAATTAGTTTGTGGACCTTTTTGATGTTCTCGAGGGTGACAACCTCCTTTGGGCGCCTGCTACATTCACCGTCCTCGGTGATCATTTTCCTACCCTTAGCATACCAATCGTTGATGTTGAATTTTCCTGAGGCAGTATCCAGAAACTCATCATAGAGCCAAGTTTTTGCTGTTTTCTGTTTAAAAAGCAATCTTTTATGAACACTCGAAATTTCTTATTTATTCATTATCCATCGTTAGTTAACGTTTACATTTTCTTAGACTTTTAGCAGAGGCGATCGTGCTCATCTACTAAATGATGCCTTCTCATTAGCCGATGCCACACAGCTATCCTACGATATAGCGCTTGATTTGACCAAATATTTAGTTAAAGAACGGGATTATATACCATGGCGGGTAGTAGTGACAAAACTACTCACACTCAAAAGCGCACTTTTGTACTCGGAAACCTATATAAATTTCAAACAGTATGCGCGTCAATTAATAACGCCGATCTATGAAGAACTTGGCTGGGAGCTAGGCGAAGACCATCTGGAAAAGTAAGCATGCTTTCGTGATAGTAATTTTACAAAATATCTATATGTTTGGTATACCCGTTATACTTTAAACACCGACAGTCGTTTTCGCTCAATGGTGCTCAGTGCAGCCTGCTCGCTTGGGGTCGAAGCGTGCTTGCAAGACGCCGCAGTACATTTTAAAGTATGGCTGGCTAATTCAACCGTACGACCACATCCGGATTTACGCCAAACCGTCTACTACTATGGCATGATGACGGTCGGAGATGAGAGCTCATGGGATGCTATGTATGAGCTTTTCCTCGCTGAGGAAGATGCTACAGAAAGGTTGAAACTAATGAATGGCTTAGCGGCGGTACAGGTTCCTTGGATATTAAGCGCGTAACTATTTGAAAATATACTTGTTGTATTTGTCTATAGTTTTTTTTTTTCATTGTTTGCTTTATTTTAGTTACATGACACTCGGTTGGTCCGAGGATGTTGTGCGCGGTCAAGATTACTTTAATTTCTTGGTCTATATAGCAAGTAATCCAGTGGGTGAGCCGCTTGTCTGGGAATTTGTGCGTGAGCAATGGCCCACTTTGGTTTCGCGTTTCGGTATCAACGAGCGCACTTTGGGTAATTTAATACCGTCAATTACCGCTAGGTTCGATACGCAAACCAAACTGGAAGATATGGAATTTTTCTTTGCTAAATACCCAGAGGCTGGTGCAGGCGCTGCGGCACGTGTTCGTGCACAGGAGACCGTTAAGAACAATATTGAATGGCTGAAGAATAACGACAAAGTTATTGCCAATTGGCTGGAGAACAACTTATCGTAAAAGTGCAGAAGACTTTGGAAATATCTTCACAATTTAGCTATTGTTAAAATTGATTGGTATTAATAGAAAAGTTCCGCACAAGCTTTAAAGTTTTAAAGTTTTATTTTTTATCTCTTTTTCCCCGGAAGTTATATTGTGACTCATCTAATATTAATCTTGCTTTACAATCATCAGATTTAAAAATAATTAATGGCGCTCTGTCATCTTTAATGACTGGCATGATTGGAAAAGAGGCTGATAAGGCACGCGTCCGTAACTAGCCGCACTTTAGCTTGCATGTTTATTGTGCTCCTATCGTTAAAGATAAGCCTAAACGAAATGTTAGTAAATCACAGGTATTTCTACACTATCGAAATAGCAAATACGAAAAATTGTATTGAAATTTATGGATTTTATGCATGCAAATTTAGGAATTGTTCGCTGATAATGGAGTTCTTTGCTAATAAACCAGAGAGATAAGATATTTTTTCCGCTATTTTGACATTTCTCTTTAGTATTGTTTGGTGGCCCCAACTTTAAGAGCTGGTTTTTCTATAAAAGCGCTACAAACGGTTTTTTTTAGACAAAACAAAAATGGTTTGAAAATTTTTATTCTAGTTAAAGTACATTCATGCTTAAGTCATGAGCCACCATTGCATACCGAATGGGAATCACTACCGTTCAATGATACCCGAATATTTTTGATCCAGATTTGGTTGATATGGACTTGGACAATATGTGCTTCCAGCAGGACGGCGCCACAAGCCACATAGCGAATGTCACAATCGATTTATTGAAAGCCCAGTTTGGTTAACGTGTTATCTCACGACATGACAATTAGCCGCCTCGGTTGTGCCTTTTGACGTCGTTAGACTATTTCCTGTATACGTTAGGTCTTTTGTCTATGCCAACAAGCCAACGACGATTGATGAACTTCGTACGAATGACGTACATGAAATTGCAGCAGTATCGGCCGATATATTCTTAAAAACCGTCGAATGCACAATGGCATCGAATGTATAAGTACTTTCAAAGGAATAAAAAATTTCATTGATATTCCAAACCGTTTTTGTTTTATTTAAAACTTTAAACTTTCGTAACGCTCTTAAGGGAAAACCCTATAATTTGAAAAATACATAAATATACATAAATATGTTTAATAAAAGTGTGTTTTCCGGCGATCAGTGTAGTAGAGTTCTGTGGCCGTCTCCAGAAGCTTGGTTAATGTAGATCACAATTCGACAACCCCAGGAAACGATGACTATCACATTTTCGGTCTGTAAGAAACTCTTTATCATTTTAAAGAAGATTGCAAAGGTTAAAATCCGCTCCTTTCACTGATCTTTGCGTTTAGCAGTGGATAAATTTTCCATCATGAAATTATTTCGGATTGCAGTTAAATAGTGTCCAAATACGGGACATGTCGCGTCGAAAGCTTTACCAATTGCAATATTTCACGCACCTACGTAAACGTTTTCGGGGCAAATCACTGAGGTACGACTACGTTGAGACTTGCTTGAGGGTAGTTAACGGAGGATAATATTCAACCGAATAGACCTCGCCTAGCTCTCAGCAACTCGGACTGACGTAGGGAACGACATAGTGCATTTTACGTCGATATCTTAAACTGAAAGCGTACAAAATACAGCTTGTGCACGAACTGAAGCCGCTCGACCTTACCAAGCCAACTCGCTTCGCCCTAGTATTAGCTCTTGAAAAATTTCAATATCCGACGACTTCGACACAAATTTTGTTCAGCGTTGAGATCTAATTTTTGTTCAATAGGTACGTAAACAGCAAAATTGCCGTATATAGAACGAAGCTTGAGGAGACTCAAGAGCTACCGCTTCATTCATAAAACCACCCAACGACCATCTGTGCCATTTGGCACCCACAAGAGGGCGCTACTTCTCAAACATCGAAACAATTCAAGGATTTATTGAGAGAACACTTCGGTGAACAAATAATTTCACGTTTTGAGCCGGTCGATTGGCCACCAAGATCGTTCAATATCCCACCGTTAAACTTCTTCCCTGTGGGGATATATAAAGTGTAAAGTCTATGCGGACAATCCCGCTTCGTTTCAGGCCTTGAAGCAAGACTTAATGAATGGATGGTAGCCGCGGCCAACAATTGAAAGAGATAATCTTCAAAAAATAAATGCCAAAGAATGTTCTTTAGAATGATAATAAACATTCTCCATTAAATTTGAAGATTCTGTGTTTTACTTTAAAAAAGTAGGGAACCTCGAAATGGATCACCCTTTATTTACGGTACGAAAAATAATTATATTTCTCTTGCCAAAGCCAACCTTCCAGGATGAGACTAACTATTTATCAGAAAGCTCTCGTATTACTCTTTGAAGGAAAATAGAGCGGACTGCCACAATTAGCGAGGAGCGTAAACTGTGAAAAATTGTATACTGTCATCATAACAGTTTCTAATAATTTGCTTCAGTTTAATAACTACTTCTGTATCAAATGCATAAAAGAACCCGTACAAATTCCCACAAACGGTGTTAGTTTATGTATTACTACTATCTTTAACGGTTTATTATATGATATTGGTTAATAAATGATATATAAATAAAATAAATGACAAACAGTTATATGCCGATATGCATGCCTACAAACCGTTGTTCTACAAAATAAAAGGCAGTTGATATATAAATAGATTTGGATCAGTTTAACAACTACATAAGTAGTAGGAGTCATTAATAACACTATAAATGGATTTTCAATAACGAAAATTAACTGTTATCAGTTTTATAGAAATATTTACGACATATACGCGATATTATGCAGGTTTTCGTAATAAATTAGCTTCGCTGTATTCATCTTATTTTCGCGCATTTTTATATAGCAACATATTGCTACTATACTTGTGTATGTACATGCAAATATATACAACTCCACTCGTATAAAATCAGTGATTAGATTAAGTATGCTGTCTTGATAAAATGCAATAGTGTGCCGATAACGGCAGACGTACTTACGGACATGTGCCTAGGCACAAACGCTATTGCTCTCAAACAAGATACAGTTACGGCTAAGCAGCCGTAAGTGAAGGTTGTGCGAAGCGAAGTTAAGAAGTATTTAACACACTTTAATTGGTGTAATCAGTAAGGATAGTTCCTACCGCGGCGAACATGATTATTACGACCAAACTGGTGGCGATTTGCTTGGGCTTAGCCCTTGTTGCTTTCACGACATCCACGATCGTTTTGGCTGTGCAGAAGGCACATTTGCAAGATGAGCTGGATGCGCTGAAAGACTCCCTCACCACCACCACCACCACCACCACTGCAACAACAATAGCTGTTACTCCCACCACAGCGAGTACAAGCAGTCAGCCAGCAACAACACCGACGACAACCGCTCCCGCTGTAACTACAACAACCGCATTACCTGAGACTACAACAACGTCGCCGGAAATTGTAAGTCCGTAATTGTAATGATTATAACTACTTTTGAGTTTGTAATTACATTGTATGCATGTGTGTGCGTGTGTGCTTTCTGCTTGTCTAGATCGACTATAGACTGCCCGACAGTGTTTTTCCCATCAACTATAATCTTTATCTGCATCCGGATATCGAGACGGGCAACTTTACCGGCCAAATGCGCATACGCGTGAACACCACCAGAAGTATTGACAAAATTGTGCTGCATTCGAAAAATTTAGTGATCAGCAGTGTGTATTTGACGGGTACAAACAATCCAACGGTATATGTAAAGAACTATTACCCGGACTTGGTGCGTGAATTTTTAGTGATCGAATTGAGCGAAGAGTTGCCGGCTGAACGTGCCTTCTATGTTGGCATACTGTTTGAGGGTACTATGGCTGGTAAAATTGTTGGACTCTACAGCTCATCGTATCTGAAGGCGGATAATACGCGAAAGTAAGTATGAATATGGCGCGCGGTTGTTAACTCGGCTATAATCGCGTAAGCGGTGACCACGCCAATCAAGAAGAAGAAGAAGTATGCGCATTCTGAAATATGTTTGCGTTGTTGTAATTAATTTCGTGTAATTTCGAAAATTGTCTCGTAGATATATTGCCACATCTAAGTTTGAGCCCACTTATGCGCGTCTCGCTTTCCCCTGCTTCGATGAACCAAACATGAAGGCGACTTTCGATGTGGCTTTGGTGTATCCCTCAGAGGGTGATTACCATGCGCTCTCAAATATGGATATTGCGGTAAGCGTTTGTTAGTTATCGCACGCATATTGGTATTAAAAATATTTATATACATGCAGGGTGAATCTTATCAAGGTAAATATACGGAGGTTTACTTCAACCGCAGCGTACCGATGAGCACATACCTGGCATGCTTCATTGTTTCCGACTTCAAATATAAATCGGCGGTTATCGATACTAACGGTATTGGCAAACCATTTACATTGCGTGCCTTTGCAACACCCGAACAGCTGGATAAAGTTGATTTCGCCTTGGATGTTGGCAAAATCGTGATCGAGTATTATATACAGTATTTCCAAGTGGAATATCCGCTACCAAAACTGGGTGCGTATTTCAGCGCTTAATTAAAAAAAAAATATATATACATATTTTAAATACTACAATTCACTCTTTCTCTCTTAGACATGGCCGCTATACCGGATTTCGTTTCTGGCGCTATGGAGCATTGGGGTCTGGTGACATATCGTGAGACCTCTTTGCTCTACGACGAGGCTGTGAGCTCGACCGTGAATAAACAACGTGTTGCCAGCGTTATCGCCCATGAGTTCGCGCATATGTGGTTTGGAAATTTAGGTAATTTGTGTTTTTTTTTTATTATCGTCTTTAGTTATTAACTCATTGTTATTGTTAGGATTAGAGTCTTATTTCATAAATTTCTTTATTTCATAATCACTTTACAATTATGGATCATAAATTTGTTGGTGCGTTAAATCTTATCGTTTTTGAATATTCTAATATATTTACAGTTACTATGGATTGGTGGAACGATTTATGGCTTAATGAGGGTTTTGCGAGCTACATTGAAAATAAGGGTGTTGAGGCGAGGTTCCCTGAATGGAAAATGGTAAGCGCACTAAAAAACTGGACAGACTGAAATACTCAATTAGAAATTGAACTAAAATATAAATTCTGAAATTAAACTCAGACCAAGTCACTTATATGAAATTTTCTAATAATGAAATACTAAGTTAAAGACAAAGTACCACTGTAGAAAGGTGTGTGCAAAATTTCAGATCAATATCCCAAAAACGGAATAATTTGTTCGCGTACAGCCAGACTGATATGACTGTCGTTTGGTCTTCTCACGCTGTTCATTTATACCATACGTGTATATATTTTATGGGGACTGTAATGTTTCATTACGGGTAATGTACCTTCTCCAAAATATATATTAACTTCATTCAGAAGAGCAGTTTCGCTTAGGTTCATGGGAATATAATTTACTTAAGCGATTCTTTCTGACTGTACATATTTCAGGAATGATTTGCTTTGCATTAAAAGCAACAATGCCAGACCTCGACTTCTGTTTAGTAAAATGATATCGCTTAGGCATACTTAATACTACTATTACTGAATTTATATAATAAATATTAAACAATAATACTTTCAGAATACAAATAAAATACGCAATAGCTAATACAGAATGACCAAATTTATATCCGATAAAGGACTCTTAAAAGTTTGAATAAAAAGTCTGAAGAGTGCCATATATTAAAATTATTGTTTCCATCTTTCAGAATGGATCATAATAAAGCTATATGACTGTTGTAAATGTTTGGCACAGACGATCTCAGTAGGAAAGGGCACCTGTGTGCTAAAAATTATGAAAAATTGCGAATGGCAATCCTCAAAAATGTTGAATGTACATATTTCCAAATCACTTACGACACAATAACCAAATTCTCTCAGAACAAATTTCTTGAGCACCCCTACACACACTGTAAAAATGGCCTCGCTCATATATAACGGTTCTATTACAAATTGCTAAAAGCGTGATAAATCGATAACTAAATATGCCTGAGACATTCTATTTTAGTGCTGACATTATACGAGTTGAGGTGAAAAAAACATATCATAGGATCTACTAGACCTATTTCAACCAAATTTCGTAGGTAATACAATATTATCCTGATATTCCTACCTTACAGTGAGAAAATAATCGGACTATAACCACACCTACTTCCAATATAACATAATTAGAAATTCCATCTGATTCTTTAACTTCACTGGCGGTTCGAAACTATTTAATCTCCCAACTACTGAATATGTGAACCCCAATTCTTATTGTGAACTTTTTACTGAAAATTTGGTCAGCCTGTCAAATATCCTTTTGAAATTCGAAGAAAAAATTGCCTTTGATTCTTCAAAGTTGCAAGATTATACAATGTTCGATCATACCCGAACTTAGCTCTTTCTTACTTGTTTCTAATATATAATATTTCTTTTGTCTCAAAATAAATTTTCTTTTGTATTCTTAGCGCGATCAATTCATTACTGGCACTCTTCACGGTGTACTCACATTGGATGCCACACTCGGTGCACATCCCATTATACAAACTGTAGCTAATCCCGATCAAATCACGGAAATATTCGATACCATTACCTACTCGAAGGGTGCCTCATTAATACGTATGTTGGAGGATTTCATTGGACCAGATAATTTCCAAAAGGCTGTTACGAATTACTTGAATGAGTATAAATATAAGAATGCGGTGACCGATAACTTTTTAACAGAAATCGAAAAATTGAATTTGGGTTTCGACGTGAAATCAATTATGAACACTTGGACAGAGCAAATGGGTTTGCCGGTGGTGGAGGTAGAACAAATAAGCGCTACCCAATACAAATTGACACAGAAACGCTTCTTCTCCAATCCCGACGACTACGAAGGCGTCTATGATGATTCGCGTTTCAAGTATGTACCGACCATATAAATTTAGTTGTGAAATTAAAAAACTTTTTATGCTAATTGTATTATTAATTTATTTTATCACAGTTACACCTGGTCTATTCCAATTACTTACAAAACGAATACTCTTACTGACGTTAACAGAGCGTGGTTCTACTACAATGAATCGGAATGTAAGTTGTTTCTTTGAAGCTAAATAAAGTTCACCCTTTAATAATATTTTATGAATGCTCTTCTTGCAGTAATCATTGAGTTGAGCAGCGCATCACAATGGATTAAATTCAATTACGATCAGATCGGTTATTATCGTGTTAACTATCCAGCAGCTTTGTGGGAAAGCTTGGCGAATCAACTAATAAATGATTCAACCGTAAGTTTGCTTTGGTATAAATGTGTGCAATATTATTTGCCTGGAACCTTCAACCATCATTCCTTAGGAGAAAAGATTAACGATAAATTATTAAGTTGGAAATCGTCATTCAAAACTTTCGTTCAGTTATTCAATAGTGAAAGATTGAATGAAAAGCCTAGGCTATTCTATATATTTTATGTATTCGATAATTCCAGAAAATGTGTCATATCAATGAGGATCTACACATATCTCTTTGAAATTAAAACGGAGACGAAATAAGTTCCGCAGTGTGACTCCTCTCCACGTTACTGTTTAACTTCTACATTTCAAAACTTCCGCAACCCTCAGAGCGAATTTCTATCATCTCGTACGCTGATGATTGGACGATAATGATGTCGAAAATGGGGAAAAGACAAAGAGATGTTGTTGGCAATAAACACGGCATTCGACCGGCTGGTTCTTAACTACGCCGGGGGACGGGGAAGTTGCAAGAATGGCATAACACTGCATTGCGGGCTACAACAGAATCAAGAGGCATTCTGTGTCCCATCGAACACCTACACAGTATGAGTATGCTCCCAGTTAAGGAGCAAAATGAACTCCTCTCCACCACCCACTGAATACGAAGAGCTCAACTTGCCGAGAGAAACGAGTGCGACCCTTGCGCAGCTTCGTTCTGAATACTGTAGCAGGTTAAACTCATACATATCCAGAATAGACCCCGACATATCAAATTTATATTTTTACGTACAATGTGTCTTCGCAAGACACTAGTCATCTCTTTGCATGCCCACTAACCCTAAACATCTGGTCCTCCCTTTGGACCAAGTCGAACAGCGAAAATATGATCTCGTACTATTTAATAAATAAGCCCACTCAAAGTGATAAGTTATTGAGTAGTAAGTGAGAAGTATAAGCCAACATGGAGAGAACATATATTCAAATTTATAAATAGAGTTGCTATTTCTCCTCTAAAATTAAGGATTAACTAGTTCTAATGCTCCTCACCTGAAATTTCAAAAGTCGGTAGAAAAAGTTAATAACGCTTTAAACTCAAGCTCTTGACCCAGTCTTGATTTGTCTGTTATGTCCTATAGTAGATTAAAAGCGGTTTCTAAAATTTTCAGAAATTCTCAGTTGGCGATCGAGCTGGTCTCCTCAACGATGCTTTCTCATTAGCCGACGCCACTCAACTCTCTTACGATACAGCTCTCGATATGACTGCATACCTAGCTAAGGAAGTGGATTATGTACCATGGAGTGTGGCTGCATCGAAGCTTACCTCACTTAAACGTCTGCTGATGTTTACAGAGGTGTTTGGCGATTACAAGCAATATGCACGCGAATTGATCAAGCCAATTTATGAGAGTGTTACGTGGACGGTGGGCAATGATCACTTACAGAAGTATGCTTTATAAACACGTTATTACAAAAATATCGATTAAAGTAAAATATTTTACTTTTTTCAATTCTTTGCTAGCCGCTTACGTGTTACGATTCTCGCAGCCGCTTGTTCGCTCGGTCTTGATGATTGTCTAAATGAAGCGAGTACACGCTTCAACGCTTGGCTGGCAAATCCTGATACCCGCCCACATCCGGACATACGTGAAACTATCTACTATTATGGCGCCTTTGCTGCTAATGAAAGTGCTTGGCAAACCATGTGGAATCTTTTCGTAAGCGAAGCGGATGCCAGTGAGAAGTCGAAACTAATGTACGGTCTGTCGGCTGTACAAGTGCCATGGATACTGGGCAAGTAGGTCAACACTCGCTCTCAAAGTATCTAAAATATTTGATCTATAAATAATCTACTTCTTAGTTACATCAATCTCGCTTGGGATGAGAACAATGTGCGTGGTCAAGATTACTTCACTTGCATACAATATATTGCCGCTAATCCAGTGGGTGAACCCATTGTCTGGGATTATGTGCGCGAACATTGGCTGGATCTGGTGGATCGTTTCGGTTTGAATGAACGTTATTTGGGCAGCATGATATCATCGATAACCGCACGATTCGATACACAAACGAAGTTGGAGGAGATGCAACGATTCTTCGTTAAATATCCGGAAGCCGGTGCGGGTGCTGCGGCGCGCGTGCGTGCTCAAGAGACCGTTAAGAACAATATTGCATGGCTGGCGAACAATAAAGCCAATATTGCAGCGTGGTTGGAGAAAAACTCAGCATAAGTAAATAAAGCTTTAATAATTTTGTTCTTACTGAGACATTTTTTGAACTGTAAAACGCGAACTTTTTAGAATCATATAAACTAAGTAGCAAATGTCGTACACATTATGTATCGTTTTTTTTTTTTGTGTTCAATTATTGCATTACAATTATTTTGTAGAGTCTACAATGACTTTTCGACTAATCGATTAATCAATGTTTGATAGGTGAATTCATCCTGTAAGAAAAGTTTTAAAACTAGACATCAACTAAAGGACGACTTCAGCTGCTTCGAGGCACAGGTGTGTTTTTGCTAGCATTATAGTTTACACAAAAATATTTTTGTACTTATACTATATAAAATATGTTTGAAGGATATAGAGTTTCTTTGGTTAACACTATATGCCAAATAAAAAAGTTTCCCAAAGTTTCGTTCTGACAAACGATCAGCTTTTTGGGAAGAAAAGAAAATGTGTAAAATTTCAGTATTTGGAAAATTGTGGCACTAGTTAACAGATGGACATGACTGAATCGACTCTGATCGTCATGCTAATCATTTCCTTAGCTAACTGTAGCAAAAGATGGTAAGATTTTTTAATTTAAATTTGGCCCGAAAACCCGTCGTCGAAATATTTCTTTTCTATGTTGGTGTGACTATCAGTGATATCTGTGTTAAATGTCACATCAAAATAATCATTAGTGTTTAGTATTTGCTTGTCTTTCTGAGGTACATAAGTGGATGAGAACAAATTATTGTGCATAGAAGTTCCATTATATTTTGTGCGCGGACACAAATTTCTGGTGCTAAAATGTTCAAATGTTGGATAGGGCCTGCGATGATAATTGTTTGTCGCGAGAAAGTGTTTTTGGTTGACACAAATTATTCAAAGATCGAGGTTCGCATCATTGAAATATCGAAAGGATCAGTGAAAACTATTTGGAAAGATCATTTGGGTCTAAGAAAAGTTAAAGCCGAACTGGTTTCAAAATCTCTTTTTAGAAAAACAGCGTCATATTAACGTCTGTGATACAATGATTTTCATCAAGTATACCATGAAACATGCTTACGACCCGGAAACATGGGATAAATCGGCCGGTCATCTTGGCAGGGTTATGTTGACAGTTTTATTCAATTATCAACAAGCAATACTATTTGAATGCTATGTGTTTGCGCGAAGCTATTCGTAAAAATTATTCTACAATCACCGAGTTCGCCTGATTTGTCTCTGGTATGACCTATGGCTATTCGCAATGGCAAACTCGTACGTCCGCTCCAAAGGAACTGTTTTGAGTCAATTGAAGACTTTAAACGTGAATCGCTTTGAAGGCTACTACGGAAATTGACATTAGCAACTGTTTCGAGAATTGGAAAAAACATTATTGGCACAAATGTATTGGGGCCAAGAAGATTAGTTTGAAGGGCGACATAGATTTTGAAGAATAAATTAAGAATTTTAAAATTTGAACAACTATTAATTATTACTATTCAAAGGGAGCGGACAAAATCAAGTTTTAGCTAGCAGATTTATTGTTGTATGCAAGTTTTTAAGTGTCTATACCAAATAGCGACACCCTGTGTCCACAGTATTATGCCTGAAACTATGCTATGCTTCTTTGTATATTCTTAGAATGATGGTTGTGTCTCACATTACATGCTAACCACTTGCAGCTCATTTAACTAGTGGCATTGGATTAGAGAATACACGAATAATCTTGTCAGTACGTAAACAAGAATTTTATTATGTTATGTGCGAAAAATGCAAATTAAGGTATTTGTAAGAAAATTGCGTTTGTATCTATTTAAAGCAAGCATGAAAGCGAGTTAAAGTCACCGGCCGGTTGGTTGAGATGCTGAGAAGTAAAAATACCTTTAGACACTATTATTAACTTAATAGAGAAACTCCTAGTAGAGAAGTTATAATATATCTAAGAAAATTATTTTCAGATGTGTTAAGTACGAACTAATTTTTCTTAATATTAAATATGTATACATATCCCGTGGTACGAACTCATTGAACTTAATTTTACTCTTTCGATTTTTCTCTGAAAGCTAAGCCTAAGCTTTTTGAAGCAGGTTACTTTTTAGATTCCTCTGTTAAGGGGTTACATGCTTTCAAAAAATCGATTTTTTATTGTCTTATTAAATTCTACAACACCTCTAGAATAAAGTCCTAAATTTTCAAGTTGATCCGAGATTCTTAGATACAGTTTTGAGAACTTGTGCGGTCGAGGATAGCTAGGCTAAGAGCGCAGTCTTTAAACGCGTTTTTCTTAAAACTGAATTTTTGCAGTCGGTTGACTAGATTCCCGAAAACTACTTAACCGATTTTCACGAAATGTTATATAGGTCCTTGAGATACAATTCTCTTTTTCGATTACAACTATTTGAAAATATAAATGTTTCGAAATTTTCACTGAAGTTTTTATTTATTATTTTTTTTTTTTTTTGTAAAAATATCTGCAATCCAATTTTCAGTTTTTTCTTCGTCCAAGTTCGATGTTAAGGCTTTAACTAAAACAACGCACGTTGTTGTACCGTTTGTAACGTTTTTGTTTTTCACTTTAGTTGATTCAGTAATGAGTTATCCTGCCAAGGGTTCGAGGGGTCACCGGAAATGGCGCCCAATGGCTGAGTTTAAAATATTGTTTCAGAAATTCTTTGTTAATAGCGTTTCAATAAAGAATTCTAATGAAACTTCATTTTTTATATGAGAAAAAATTTGTCGAATAAGGCTGTTTGTTAACCAAGTGTACCTATGTAACCCTTTAATTTCTTCTTAGCATGGAAAGGAAATCTACTCTAACAAATTTATTTGAATTTGTAAACCATATATCATTAGGTTCTAGGGAACACAACCATACGGATGATTTGCCATTGAATCTCATAAAATGTAAGACTCATAGATGTTTGATCCCCTCTCCCTATGTCTGAAAAACCTATTCACTAGAGAAAGTCTTTTTAGATTAGGGTTGCATTGGTTGGGAGAGAAGAGAGTAATCGTCGGGTTATACTTAGTTATTTGTTTTATTTTTCGGAGCTCGGATAGACTAACGGAAAGGTAGACCAAATATGAAACGTTATAAAACTCCAATAACCGCTAGTACTTTTAAAAGCATGTTCCGAGAGCAATAAATAGTTTTTTCGATGGTCCAAGTTAAACAACCGAAGAAACGCTCTTGGATATACAATTTGAGAATGATTAAGAAATATAACACGCTCAGTGTTGAGGTATAGATAAAAACTGATCATCAAAGTGAGTAAAGTGATTTTTTTGGAATTCATAATGTTTTATATCTTACACGAGTTATATAATTTTTTTACTCTATATTTACTCTCTCTGTTGTAAAATTAAATTAGGTCAAATAAGAGGCGCCATCTTGGTTAGTGGTGCGTGATTCAGTAAAAAAAAAAAATGACTTACAAAAATAAAAAAGAAATAAAAACTAAATGAAAACATTTTAATCAAAAACAGGGGTAAATAAATGGAAGTTTAACCAGAAGTACAAGCTTCTTAGGTCTCCAAACAGTAATATACAAAAGTCTTTGAAAGTCACACGTCTGCGTTCGTAGACTATTTAAATGATAAAAACCGATAATATCGGTTATTGGAGTAATAAAAATTAATAAAACTACCCGCAAATAAAAAATTTCGTATATTCATATCGCTTTAAATAACATGATTTTATCATATATACATATATATATGACATTCTAAAAGCGATAAAATTGGATAGTAGATATGTAAAATGACCCAACCTCAGAGCCCAAGTGAAATACATTAATTAGTTCGTAAGGACCACTTCTACGAACAAGTCCATAAGTTGCTTAAAACAAACTTGTTTCGTAAATCAAAATAACAGCAGCACAACATGGCGCGTGAGTATTAAAAAGGATAACGTTTTTGTCCTTACAACAAAAATGACAAAATAGTTAAATTGTAATTGGCTAAATGTTATGTAATTCCAATTTTTCAGTGCTGACAGCTAAAGTTATTGCAATATGCCTTGCACTTGCCACCACGGCTTTCATGGTCTCAACCATTGTACTGGCCGTACAAAAGGCGGATTTGGAGGATGAACTACAAAATGCTTTAGATAGATTAGATGCAACCACGCTACCCACTACACTACCCACAACGCCGACCACGCCTACAACACCAACGACAGCAGCACCAAACAATCCAACACAAACTACTGCTCCACCTGGTAATCCAACGGATCCAGTCAATCCAACGACGGTTACTGTACCAGCACCGATAGAGACTACCACGCAAACCACGCGTACCACACAAGGTGCTGTAATTCCAACCATTACTATACCGAATACGGAGTCGACTCCCATAATCTCGAATCCCAATTATCCAACATTACCACCTGGACTACCAAGTCCCGAAGAGGTAAGTATACGTTGTTTTATTATTAAAGTATATCCTTTTTGTTGTTGAAATAGTTCTAAGATAATGTGAATGAACTTCTTGAGAGTGTTCCTTGGAAAATTATATTTTCATTATTTGTTTATATCGTTTTAAAGTGCTTGATATTGACTTAGAACAACACATTCAGATCTTGATGGTTCTTTGAGCGTTCAGCAATAAGAAAGGTGTTATTTTTGAGTATCGGCAAAGGTATAAACTATTTTTTATTGGAAATGTATAGAAACAAAATGCCTACCTTTTTTTCGATAGCACCAACAAGTAAGAAATAGTCTCTAAAATTCATGAAGGACAAAGCCGATCAAATGTTATGAACTTTACTAACTTTTCGCATTCTGAAATCAAGGATATTTAGAAATGCTTAATTTCATTCCAAATTGTCACTTATAAATGCAAAACGAATTATCATCAAAAAAAGAAACACAAAAAAAAATCCTTGCCGGATACAATAACCAATAGATAATATAACCATTTTATAACGAAAAGTCTAATTTTCTTTCAATTTGAGTGTAGTATAACCAATATTCAACTATTCTATAACCAGTATATAACCATTCTATAACCAAAACTCAAATTCTGTTTCAATACTAGTGGTTGCTATATAAGAAATATCCTTTCTCCTTCGTCTGTAAACTTATGAAAAGTGATGTTATTTTCGATGTTAGATTTTAGGCCACAATATGCACTATTACAACTATTGATCTTTACTTGTCCTGCCACAATTTGTTCCGAGTTATCTGAGGTAGGCAAAACGGCAGATATTGGGTTTTAATGCAGGATCACAGAAAGTTCTTAACTAAATGGCAAGTTATATAGGTCTTTTTTTTAACGCTTTACTCATATTTAATCGGGAGTTTAATAAGCGCAATAACAACTTAAACAGTTATGGTAGGGATACTATTTGTTTTGACTGAATAATTCTCAAAATTTCACGATAGTTTTTTTAATTTAGTTATGAAGAAAAAATCCATTGATTTAGCAGTAACTTATCATTTAATAATGTGCACTTAAAGTTCATTCATAAAGCATTTCCAAGAACAAGTCTATATTCACTTAATACGTCAGTGGATATCGACTTGATATTGCATAAAAAACTTATATCGTGACTAGTCCAAGTTGAAAAAACATCATTGATTTGTTGATAATAGTCGTCATAAAACAATTTTGATAAGCTTTCTTGGTCAAGATCGAAATTATAATAGCAATGCTTTTAGATAAGCTAATGTGGATACAAAACAAACGCATGACAAGTGATCGGTGGTATTTATCAAAGTTAACCGCTATTGCCGCAAGCTATAAAGATAAGCGGTACCACTTTGTATATAAAATTCTCTAGATATCTATACGTATGCATATAACAATAGTATGATATGCATATATTATATTTATCAAATATCCAACGCGCGTATAATATCAAAAACTGTATCGATTAGAAATAATTGACGGATAAGCGGTGCGCTAATTAGCGATTTATTTACTTAGAAGTGACAAATCGTTTCGTTTCGCCACCACGGTTTGTTATTTCGACAGTCGAAATGTTTTCGAAAATTCTGGGTACAAGCTTGTGTAGTTAACTTGTTACGATTTAACTGAGAAGATAAACATTTCACAGATAAGTTGACAGCTCGTACGGTTACCATTGCTTTAGGCCTAACAGCAACCGTTCTGATTGTTGTCTTAGTCGTTGTAGCGGTTGATGATAGCAATACGAACGTGAAGCTGAAGGAGTGCGAACATAAATTGGAAGTTTTGTAATCGTTTATAGAATCCTTAAGCAAAGATACAACCAACACGACGCCGGGCAGTAACAACGGTTTCAACTACACTGGGTTAATTGATGCAAAATTTCACGGACAAATTAATGAGTACTAATTTTACAAACGTGGATAATGAACCTTAAAGTACTTAACCACTTCGAACAAAATTTGATATCAATATACTCGTATCCTGTGACGAATTAATTAGTATTAGTAAAATCGGGCAAACAAAAAACTAAAAAAATGTTTGAATTCTATGAATATGAGATCATTATCATTTAGACTTCAAAAAGGTCGGAATTTGTATTGCTGTCTAATATTTAGCAAAAGATCTTTTGTTTTTTAAGTGGTTAAAGGTAGAAAAATCTAAGAGGTGGTCTGCACAATCGAAGTATTGCCCCACCCACTGCACCGTATTACATAAGTTGTGATATGTTAGTGGCAGAAGACTCGTAACTGGCGAATGACAAGCGTGATGTTTTGCTCCAAGGCCCTCTAAGGCCTGAATCGAAATGGGATTGTCCGCATAAACTTTAGACTTTACATATCCTCACAGGAAAAAGTCTAACAGTTTGATAGTGGCCAATCCACCTTGTCAAAACGTGGCTATCTGAATATTCTTCACTGTGAATTCAGTAGTGAATGCTGGGTCTAAAAATGGGCGATGTTGTTCAACCGCAGGCTTTTTGACTAATAAAATACTATATTATATTGTAGGTATAAACAAAATCTCTACATGGACATGATACTGCTTACTTCTGCATCTAAGGTATACAATTATATATTTCTCAAATAACGCTATAAGTCCGTACAATGGATACAAAACTCAAGCACTGAGTGAAAGTGTAAAATGAAATTATTATTAGATCTCTCCTTACCTCGAGTAAAGAGTCAATAAAGGTAAGAATCGCTTGATATCAAAGTCGAACCCTTACGCATTTTTCCCGCCTCTAAGTCTTCTTCTTTTGTATTATATTTTTCTACACATAGCAGTGCCATATATCCAATAGAAAAATTTGTGTTGCATAACCAGATTTATACTTTACCCTACCACACATTTTCCCTTTCACCTTTTAAAGTAATTATTTTGTTTAAAGCTGCTATCTTTTTTACTGCTGAATTTCAAATGGTTTATGACTACTGCGGGCAACTAAACAAATTATCCATAAAATCATTTCCGCCGCTACTTAAGTAGATAAAATATGAGTTACATACATGTATATATGTATCTGTGTCTACCTTCACAGTGGGTGGAAAAAAATACTATCTATCCAATAACGGTAAAAAAAAATGTAAAACTCGTTAAGTAATATAATTATATTTTATTTAGATTGACATGCAAACATATTTTTGATCACTCTGTATTTTTTATTTATTTGTTTTAAATTACGTAATAGAAGACGTTATGTTCCAAAGTAAATATTTATTATTTAAAAAGAGATTATAAAATATAATAAATAAAAATCGTATCTAAATTCAGTCAAGGAACTCCTTTATTACTTCTCAATAGCTTTTGGCCAATGTAAAGTCATAACACGCCATTTTTAAGAAAATATTGAGGTAGCTCAAGATGATGCATTGGGGAATCTATCAAAATGAATTCCGTGGAATTTCAAAGAGGATTAAGATATGATGAGACCATAGTATCATAGCCGTTGGTCTAAAAGATGGATATTTTATTAACAGTTTGCATAATTTGTTTGAGATATAGGATTAATTTACCAACTTCAAAGCTAACTTTTTGATATTTAAATGTGTTTAACTAATATTCTGAAAAAATATTGTTTGACTTTATGAGTAAGAAAGCATTATTTATAATGTCACAGTTTCTCTTTCAAAGTACCTAGGCTTAAAATATACAATTTTCGGTTTTACTATTAGTATCACTATTGATCCGGAATGGCCACGATATATTTGATTTGACTCAATTTAACTATGAAATCCACCTTCACATTTGCTTTCTATCCTATCATTTCTAAAACCCACATTTCTAAAACTCCCCCTCTCTTATCTCAAATAATTAGCCGTTAGTTATATTTTAAAGTTTACTTTTTACTTAACCTTTTTTAGATTATTTATCGTCTGCCAACCGATATTCGCCCAGTCACGTATCGTCTGTATTGGCATCCGAATTACGAAACGAACACCTGCGAAGGTTCCGTGACCGTACAAATCGAAGTTGATGTGCCCACAAATTTGGTTGTGTTGCACGCGAAGGATCTGGAGATCGGCGGTATTTCAATTCTCAATGTAATGGCATATATGCGCATTCGTGTGAAGGCGTTTACCTTGAGTGAGGAACGTGAACTACTCATAATCGAATTGGATGAGTTGTTGCGTACGGCCACACCGTATGTGGTCAATATTGATTTCACCTGCCAATTGAGTGGTTTAAGTGGCATGTACTCAAGTATTTACAAGGATGAAACAAATGCAGACAGGTGAGTCTTAAATATATGAAAGTATGAAATTTATAATTACTACTTGGGGTCCACTAAATCAGTGGAAAAAATATTTATTCCTAAAACGCAACATTTTTTCCGATAATGCCCAAAGAATTTTCAAAAATCAAAACTTTAAAAGATAAAAATTAAGGTAAAACTTAAATTGTGCAGCTTTGGATAAGGTCTTCGCTTTTGAGTTATGAACTCAACCACTTCCTCTAGCAGAAACTTTCATTGAGAGCATCAAGGATCGGATTGGAACGATAGGCTTTCCATAACCTATCTTCCTCGTTTTAAAGGTTAAGCGTCTCTCAGTTCTTAATTAAACTCGATATATGGTACAAATAAGGAGTAAATAATTTTTCACTTAATGGGAAGCTAAGGTTATTTGCGATTTAGAACAATTGAAGGCTATACAAACAGCGTGTATACAAGTTTTGTCCGGAAAGTAATAGACTGATTTTCTTCCGCCTCTACTGTACTTCGGAGCGTGCGCGCACTGACTGGATTCGGTAGAGTCAGTACAAACGTTTTCGCTCGACGTGTTTCTGTGAGTGGTGCAAGCCGAAAAGCAGCGTTCATTCGAACAGGGGTACGCGATTAAATTCGATGTGAAACTCGGTCTGCAATAGCGACGTTTGATATGATCAAGCAGGCTTACCCAGATGTTACTTACCCAGAAGAAGTGCTATGTTTCGGTGAAGAAGAGAAGAAGTCGCTGATGAAGACCGTGAAAAACGATGCTCATTGTCTTTTTTGACATCAAAGGCATCGACCACCATGAATTTGTTCCTCCTGGACACGTCGTCAACGCCAAGTTTTACATGGATCTTCTCAAGCGACTAAAACGAAGGGTAAATCGGGTCCGACAAGACATTGCGGCCGATTGGAAGTTGCACCACAACAACACTCCGGCTCACATCGCCTCTCTTGTGACCATCTACCTAACCAAGGCCGGCATTCCAACGCTTCCGCAGCCGCCCTACAGCCCAGATGTGGCCCCCGGACGTATTCGATGCTTGGAAATCGCCCTGGTAGCGCTGCATCGACACAGAAGGAGCCTCAGAGTTATGACTAAATTCAATTCTCTAAAAGGAAATATAAACCATTCTGTATTATCTCAGAAGTGATCAAGAAGAGTATATCAAAGCTCTTCCTAAGTAATAGGGTCGCAATGCCACTGAGATGAGTGTGAGAAACTGTAAAAATAAGGATTTGAAAGCTCAAATACACTAAAGGTGGCATACTTTCAATGGATAAGACATGCACGCAGAGTACGCGTGTTGCGTAAATGGAAAAATGCGTTCGTCTCCTTTTTAAGCGTCTTTATAGCCACTTCCTTATCTGCCAATATCCCCCAAACGCCTTTCGAACTGCAACGCAGAGAGTAAGAAATTAGCGCGTAAGCTCAACATTGCTCTCAGCCTGCTAACTGAAACGCTCCTCGCAAATATACATATACAAGTCTATCTTGTTTATCTTCTTTCTTTTTACACTCTAACTCTTCCAATCTCCAATAACAATCGACGAACATAATAGCCAAGCAACAACCATTCAAGCTTAAAATGTCAAAGACCAGCTTTTTTCCTGCTTTTTGCAACAGCAACTTGCATCGCTAAGTTCAGCTCAACGGCATTGGCTGAGCGCGCGGCGGCTGGTTGACTGCTTCGCTTTGGACGTCCGCTTAGAATCCGCATCATCTACAGCGGCTCCGGCAGTTGAGTACGTGAATTTGAGCGCGCCGGTTGTCTGAGCTGCGCGCAAAGTGAACGAGAAAGCGGAGGATTAACTAGTAAACTAACGGCTCGTATTAAAACCACGACAACGCATAGTGACTATGTAAATACAAAAGCAAAACAAGAGTTATTAGTAAGCGAGTGCATGCGAGGCGCTGACGTGAGCTGTCGCTGATCGCAGCTGACAAATTGGCGGACTAGATATCACGCAGCGCAGTTATTCACGCCTTTCAATACACGATTTTTGACGCTGACTTTTTCAAAAAAAAATTAAATAAAATAGAAATCAATAATTTGTGTGCGCGTGCTATTGGCGGCTACAGAAATGTTTTCAAAAGGCAGAAAAAGCTTCGAGAGAAAATATAATTAAATGTAGAAGCGATTTCATCGCAAAATTTTTGCAATTCTTCGAGCCAGTCCGAGAAAGTAGCAACAAAAACAGTTGGCAAAAGTTTTGTTATTACATTTTATTTTGATATGTATGGCTTGTGTTGTTGTTGGAGAAAGGTTTTTGGAAAACCTGAATTACGAGCTTAAAAGAATACGAAAAAGAAAGCAAGAAGGCAATAATAATACAATCAAAAAAGTTGCTATTAATCATATCACTGTTTTGCAATAACAACAATTGTGCGAGAAATAGATTTGAGCTGATGCTGCACGAAAACAGTACAATAACAATAGCAATAGTTGTTGAAAAAAGTCTGTTAAAGTGTAACAAATCAAGCTTAGCCAGCGAAGAATGCGGCGGCGACGAGGTGTGCAACGGTATTAGCGCGAAATTGGTTCATGATTTCAACAATAATAATAACAACAACAACAAAAATATTAACGCCAGCAAAAAAACTCGTACCAGCAGCAGACAAGTTCCATTCATCTCTCGTTATTATGCGATTGAATAAGTTCTAGTCGCTGCCATTATCATTTTTTGTACATATTCAGGCATACATACCTATATTTTAACTATTTGTCATGTGTAGTTCTTACACGCGTTGAATGATGTGCTGTCTCTTATACACATCTAGATGTGTATAAGAGACAGGAATAAGTTCTAGTCGCTGCCATTATCATTTTTTGTACATATTCAGGCATACATACCTATATTTTAACTATTTGTCATGTGTAGTTCTTACACGCGTTGAATGATGTGTGTGAAAATGTCGTGATTGGTGTGCTTGATGAGCTTGTGTGCCAAAAACGCCCACAATAAAACCGAATTACAATTACGATTCTTTGAGTCATCAGCGGTTGAGCCTACGTACAGAAGACGTACCAGTACGAAGAGTCATAGCATGAATAAATTTGTATGGACGTACTATATGTGTAATGCACCGTTATGTGGATGATACTTGTTGAGGGAAGGGAGGAATTGTTCATAAATTAAGTCTGTCTTAATTGATGTAGGAAACCTTTATTACGCGATAAATTTTATACTGAGTATTACAGATTTTCACACAACGTAACAAATATTTACAAAATATTTTATATATATTTTTTTTTTGGATAAAAAAACGGAAAATTTTTTTACGAAATACACTTTTTTTTTAAATCGAGGAAATTTGCTGCTGCGTCTGTAACTTCTTAGAGTTTTACTATCTATTCTAAAACCGGTATTGTTCCACAACCGCATCTTTCCTTTGCTTGGAGCCTTTTTTGAGTTAAAAGTACTGTTTACTTTAATACGAGTAATAATTTCTTCGAGAGTGTAAAGAACAGAAACTTATGATAGAAGGATTTATTTGGTGGCGTTCGCGATTGAAAGATGCGCATGCTCAAGAATCCAACTTTTTATTTGTAGGACGCTTAGAGTACTCTTTTTCTTAGCATTATCCAATATAAGTATAAATTAAAATTAATTATGTGTCCTTCAAATAAATATTTCTCAGATATAACACAATTATACCATCTCCTTATTCGCTATATCAAACTAGTTCTTTCAGCGATGTAGCTATTATCTGTTGTTTTGAGAGTTAAAGCTCAGTGTTCTGGAATAATTTTGCATAGCCTGCTTTGAGACAATAACTCAGAACAATTTTTATCACGAACACAACTTTAGAATATTCAATATTTTCACCAGTTAGTAACGTATGTCGTCGAAGGGAGGTTCGTGATCTCCAAGATTCTTGAAAAAAATTTCTTTTTGAGGTTAAGAGTTGATTTTTCGGCTTGTTGCCTCGATATTAGTTGCTTTTCTGGCTTTGGTTATAATATTGTGATCTTCAGCATTCTAGACAACATTTTATTTCTGAGGTTAGAAGTAGATTTTTCGACTTTTTTTCTCGACTTTAGTTGTTTTTCTGACTTAGGTCATAAGTTTGTTCTCTTCAATATTCTTGAAAAAATTTTCTTTCTGTGGTTACGAGTTGATTTTTCGACTTCTATACACTTCTTTCTCCCATTTTAGTTGTTTTTCTGACTTTGGTTATCAGTTTGTGATCTTCGATGTTTTTGAAAAAATTTGCTTTCTGAGCTGAAGTGTGGATTTCTAGCCTCTATCGATATCTTTGCTTAATTTCACGTTTTTCAGACTTTGGCTATACGCCTACAGAAATTTTTCTTTATATTTGAGACAAAGTTAGACCTTCCTGGATAAAGTCTTGACCTGGTCCCTGATAAAACAAACTTCTATTTAAAGTTTCGTCGCACATATTCCAAATTTAGACTGAAAATGTTTCGAAATGTTATCCTATGTATGGTATCGTATCCCGATAAATATTATACATGTGTGGAGATTCTTGAATATTTTAAACGATGATGAATTTTCGTATCAGAAATATAATATAAACCTTTGAGTTAACATCGACGGGCGTCGTAGGAAGGCAACTTCTGTTTGCAATCTTAGTTTCTAATGTGATTGAGTTCCCCATTTTAAGTCAAAGAGTAGAGTTGTAGATAAGCACTTTTAAAATAGGTGTCGCTTAGATACTCTCCATTCGTTGTGAAAACATTTTGCACTCAAAAAGAAAGTTAGTTATCTACTTTTATCGGGTTTGGGAATCGATTTTGAACATGTTCACTTTTTCGTGGGCTTGAAATCCGGGATTAATGTTTACCTAGGTTGGTTTTCACATAAATAAGTGTATGCAAATCGAAAGATTTTTTCATTTTGGATTGCATACACATGTGTCCGAAATTATAATACCACTAAAAAAATTCAGTAATTGGAAATTAGAATTCTTTAAGCTTAACATACAATATATTCACTGATGGATACACCCAGTTCTACCATTATTTTATCCAGAATCAAAACTAATATTAAGGTGTTTTTAACATAACATAATTTCCATAAATATTCTCTAAGAAAGTATTGAAAGCTCATTTCATAAAGAACATTTGTTGTCAAAAGACCCGTCTCATGAGTTTAATGATATGTAAAAAACTAAAAACGCAAATTGTAAGCAAATTGGAGATTTTAAAAACCAATATTTCAATAGCCACAACATTTTTGGGAACCAAAACCAAAAAAAAAAAAGGGTTTGATGAGCCTCCTTGTCAACTGCTTTCGCTCTTTCAAAAAAGTTTGTTCTAAAACTAAAAGTCATTTTTAAAATAATAAATGTAATACAAACTTTTGCGTGCACCCATTATTTCGCACAATACTGTATTTGTACACAGTGTTATTGCGCATTCATCCCACACACTGCACACACCTTCGTCACAATTACCGCTACGCATAAATAAAAAAAAAAAAACCAACGCATGACTTACCTACGCCAACAGCAGATAGACAACAATCAACAATTCAACAACCGATCAACCCGACAAACGGGATTTATATACCATATACTATACCCAGTACATGCCCGCGCATTGTAAGAAAATTTGCATTCAATTATTAAGCGCACAAAAATGAATCAAAGACGCGCGCTGCCCAGTGGAGAATGTAGAAAAGTATAAAAAGGCCAATTGAGCGACAATCACAACAACAACAATAGCAACAAGTTGTAGTAAAATGCAATGAAACGAAACTGCTAGCCGCGACGTAGTAAAGCGGTCGCACTATGCTCGCTAACTTATCACTTTCTTTCGGAAAAGTGCGCAGGTGATGGCCGGTGAGGTGTTGTGACTGTTGATGTTTGCCGGTGTAAGCATGAAAATGTTGAAGTTGCTGAACTCCGCCGCGTGAGGTGGTGGTCACTTCGAATGTGCGCTGCGGCGAAACTGGTTTCCGCCATGTGGCTGGCAGCTTATGAGACGCTTTAATGCTCATTTTTCATCGCCACCACAACGCACACACAAAACTGCTTTATGTGGCTCATATTGCATGCAGCTTGCGTACGCTGTGCCACAAGAAATTTAGGACGCTTTGGGCTTTATGAAAATTTACAAAAAAAAAAAAAAAAAAAAAAAA